GATCAAATACAACCAAAAGAAAGCTCCATTTGTGGGAAAAAAAGGATGTAAATTTAATTTGAGTGCAGTGTTGCATGACCGCGCAAGTGTAATGCTAGATTGTGCAGGGCCCTCGATCCCCTCATGTTTTGCATTGTTTTGTTATTGTTCTGTCACATGTTCTGTCCCCCTTTGTAATGTACAGCGCTGAGCGAACTATTGGCGCTTTATAAATACTGTATAATAATAATAATAATGCAGTGCCGTAAAAAAAATGGCCTGGTAAGGAAGGGGGGTAAATCCTCAGGAGGGCAAGTGGTTAAGACAGCAAAATTAATGGCCTTGGTGCCATTACAGAGGAGTCTGTGTTCGGTTCGATGTTAGTGGTCACTGCTGGGCCAAAAACATTGGCAGGAGATTCCCTATACTGCAGCTGCACATATATAATGTGGTGGGGATGTTTGTGATATCATTGGCCTACCATGGCCACATGGACATTCTAGGTCAATGATATTGACCTAATGTGGCATTGTTCCCATAATAGGTCAGTGATGTCACAAGTATCCTCTGGGCATGTCATCTGTGGTGCAGGGAATTTCCCACCTGCAGCTTGTTGGCCAGCAATAGCATCTATCTTCCAGGTTCAGAAAAAAACTGGGTTTGAACCAAACTCAAGTCTAAACCCAAGCTCATCACTAGGTGTTACCTCTGACTACGCTGCCCTAGGTCACTACAAGTATCCAGGCCTGGTGACCCCAGACATGGGGAATATCGGTCTAACCCTTTTATGTCTCAACAAAGCATGCCACCTTCTCTCCTCCACTGGTAGAACCAGTTGCGTCTGTGGTCCAGAACATTCCAGCGAGCAGAGAAATTGTTTAAATATGAGCCTGATGGAGTCTTTCCTGGAGAAGGGAGATAAGCCAAGTCTCAGATCTTTTACGGACCTCTTTAACACAAGTGGACACAGATGTCAGAGCAAGCAAAACAGAAACATCTGCCAAGTCCATCTCCATAAACCCGATTAACCCTAACTACTCATAAACCTAACAGCATAAACCCCGGTCCTCCATGTGCCCTGTCCTCATCTGGAAGGTGTATGCAGTGGAGATGAATATCCATTGTTCTGGATGATGTGAATTCAGTACGTTCGCCATGTTTGTCTAAAAAAAGGTAATGTGATTTGTGCAATGCTCTGACTAATTTTACATAATGATGTTTTATTAAGTTCTTTATTTTTAGGGTTTAGTATTTCTGCATATGAAATAGTCAGGAACAAAGGTCATTCCCTTAGCCACGCCCAATATTTTAGGGGTCATTCATTTTTTCCTTGAGCAAAAAGATAAATAATAGCTAGACGTGCTTTTGTTACCATTCGTTTTTCCAATGAAAATTTCACTTTCGGAGATTTGGATATCTACAAATCTCCGAACAGACATAGTAACAAGAAAAATTATACCAAAATTAACGAATGCATTCATATCATATGGCTAAATGGTTAGCACTTCCATCTGGCAGTACTAGGGTCATTGGTTTGAATCCCAACCACGGCACCACCTGCCTGGAGTTTGCATGTTCTCCCTGTGCGTGCGTGGGTTTCCTCCGGGTACTCCGGTTTCCTCCTACACTCCAAAGACATGCTGATAGGTGAATTGGTTCCTGTCTAAATTGGCCCTAGTGTGTGTATGTATGAATGTGAGTTAGGGACCTTAGATTGTACACCTCTTGAGGGTTAGGGACTGATGTGAATGTACAATATATATGTAAAGCACTGCGTAAATTGACGGCGCTATGTAAGTACCTGAAATAAATAAAAAAATAAATATCATTCAGATGACGTCACAAAATGCGATACTAGTTTGGGCCCATGGGGAGAGGGTACTTATCAGAGTCCTCTCTTACATCAGGGTACCCATCAGAGTCCCTCCTGACATCGGAGTCTTTATCAGAGACTATCCTTACATGACAGGCCCCCTTACATCAGAGCCCTCTTATATTTATTTATTACAGGTACTTATATAGCACTGCCAATTTATGCAGCGCTTTACATATATATTGTACATTAACATCAGTCCCTAACCCTCAAGGGGCGTACAATCTAAGGTCCCTAACTTACATTCATACATACACATACTAGGGACAATTTAGACAGGAGCCAATTAACCTATCAGCACGTCTTTAGAGTGTGGGAGGAAAGCAGAGTACCCGGAGGAAACCCGCACAGGAAGAACATGCAAACTCCAGGCAGGTGGTGCCTTGGTTGGGATTCAAACCAACGACCCTAGTACTGCCAGGCAGAAGTGCTAACCATTTAGCCACTGTGCTGCCCTTATATCAGAGTCCCCTTACATTTTAGTCCCTCCTTACATGACAGTCACCATCCAAGTCCCTCCTTACATCAAGGTCACCATCAAAGTCCCCCTTATATCAGAATCTCCCTTACATGAGAGTACCCATCAGAGTCCTCCCTTACATCAGGGACTCCCCCATTACATTATGAACAACATCAGAGCCGCCTTATATCAGAGTCCCCAATCAAAGTCCCTCTTACATGTGAGTACCACCTTACATCAGGGTCCCTATCCATGTCAACTGTTACAGAGGGCCGGGTAAAATCTTGTAGACATTAGGAGACTCCCTGAGTTATACCATAAAATATCTTGATAACTATCCTCACCAAATTTGAAAATAATTGTGCGCAGTGTCTATCACATTGTCCGTCATCAGTGATTATTTGTGTGCCAAGAATGCTGTACTGTCATTTGTGATCATCAAATTTATTGAATCTCACAAAAATTGTTGCATGTATGAGATGATTGGTTATCTTTTTCTTTCTTCAGTTCGGTAATTTGTATCGTCATTTAGGGCGCACTTTTCATTCGCACTGCCCCATTCACATCACACCAACACCCTGCCTGCAGTCCGATTTCCCAAACACAAGTCCTACACAAACACACATACCCAGCAGGGTCATTTTTCAATGAAAGCCATTTATCTTATTGGTCCTTTTTTTGCCCTGTGGGATGTCCAAAGGAAACCCACCCCAAGCACAGGGAGAACGTACAGCCTTCACGCCTATAGCATCCTTGCTGGGAGTTGAACCCAGGACCCCGGTGCTACAATACCCATCATGAATAGGGGGGGCCATCTAACAATCTTCATTATTTTCCTTTTTACAGAAGGCGTTCAGCACTAGGGAGCGTCTAACAACGCCTGATTGATATTTGCATGGCCCTGGCGGTGGGCAGGAGGGAATTCTTGGGTGATAGATCACGCCACTTGCGTTGTTCCAGCGTGCAGACAAAGAATGCGATTAGTAAATTGATGGCAGGTGTGTAAGTCACTGGACACAATGGAAATCTTTATCGACCCATGGCAAGCGCAGGTGGGGGAGCCAGCAAAAGTTTGCTCACTTTTCTGCTTTCCCAGAATCCTGCTCTCCTTTCTCACAGAGCCTAGTGGAGCCTGGGAATTCTTCGCTCACACCCCCTGCTGCTAGAGGACACAATCATTTTTCATTCTGGCAGCTGAGAGCAATGAAGGAGGGAGGGGGGGGGACTGACCTGAGCTTTTCAAAAAGAAACACATTATTATGTCTGTTGGCCTTGTGATTGTGAAAGGGCTCGCTGGTTAACTCTTTCCAGCTTCGTGAATAAGGCAGCGCAGAGAGCAACGGTGTGCCGCAACCCGTACGAATCAGACATCGCCTCTCATTAGCGTGACGCAATAGGAGCAATGAAGGATGATTTCTGATTGGTTGTGATGTTGCATTATAGCTGGCTATTTATCTTCAAAGGAGACCCCTGGGGTTTGGGACCCGATGCATTAATAGCGTGTGCGAGGAAATATTTCCTGACGACCATTGTAACCACTCCTGGTTTATCTGCAAAGCTGGGTCCTAACATTACATATTTCTATGGACAACAAGAAATATTCTTTTTAGGCTTCATGTACACTGGGCATAAAAAATGCTGCTTATCTACTTCCCTACCAGGCCAGTTCTGACAGTTCTCTGCTACATGTAAAAATCACCTTTTTTTTTGTACAAAGAATTCCCAAGCATTATATATTATTGTAGCCTCCCTAGCGGTCTGATTATGGAATGGTGACCATTGTCACAAAGAAAGTGAGGGGAGATCCAACATCTTCCTACTGGGGACACCTGTATCGGGGACAACTGTCTAAGGACGTGTACGCATGTGCAGCAACTATTGCAGATCCTCTGAAAAGCAATCCGAAGTGGATCACTTTTCAGAGGGTGTTTGACAGGCAGTACAGATGCGATATGTTGCCTTATCACCACTTATTTTCACCGTCAGTATGCTGACCCACAACTGGGTGCGACATGACCTCTTTCACTTGAATGGGATGCATTTAGCAGCAGTACCACCCGCTGAATACAACGTGCCATTTCATTTTTACTTTTGCATGTGTACAGCCTTAAATATAGGTGGGCTGATGGGGAATGGTAAAATCGCAGATCAAGTGCCTGCTTATAGTACCCTCTAGCCAACTTTGTAAACGAGCCCTCCATATGGGAGATTTCTTCTAACTTGGACAGGAAGTGAAGGGAGATTTCTCCAATGGTACACTGACAGGGGTTCTAACCCTTCTCTATCCAAAACTAAAAAAAAAATGAAAAATTGGGCTTTACATATACTTTAACCTCCCTAGCGGTCTGATTATGTCAGTATTTCTGTGCTCAAAGCGGTACATTTTTTTGCATGGAAATATGTATTTTTTTTTATTGTAGACCTCTAATTCTTAGGAATAACTCACTGAAATCTGTCCGAACAAGAGTCTAGTAAATATCCCGGGTATTTTAAAACTTGAAACACGAAATCATAAATTATAATTTAATAAATAATCATAAAAATAATAATAAAAAATTTAATCAAAATGGAATCAAAACCAAAAACACAGAAAGTTGAAATAGAGCGCCAAGTTCGCACACCACTGAGCTTAGTCACAGAATCGTTTTCAGTGTCTGATGACGAATTTCCCCCACGAATCATTATCACTCAATTCTGCAAGTGGTTCTGATTTACTATCGCTGTTCTCTAGTCGGTCTAAAACCGCTTTTGACCTAAAAGGACCCTTTTTGGACACCATGGACATTTCTCTGTTTCCAGGCAGAAAGAACAGTAAAAATGCAGGCAGGGCACAGGACAAAGCACTCGGGACAAAATGTATGTGAAATGGTTTGATACAGAAATGTTATACTATGTGAATTTAGTGAATGTCACTTTTACAACTTTCAAATTTCCCGCCAGTTCTGTCCCCCGTATGTCCTGACGTCGCAGGGAACGGAACCCGGAAGACAGATGCCGGCATCGGCCGGAGGACATTACAGGGGACACTGCAGGAGGGACATCGCGGGAGCGCAGGACAAGGTAAGTGAAGAAGAGATCCTGGAGCAGAGCTGCATGGTATTCCAGAGTGTAGCTCGGGGTTACCGCTTGTGGTGCTGAAACTTTACCCCGAACTACACTCGGGAATACCGCCAGGGAGGTTAAGCAGAGGCCCTAGAGAATAAAATGGTGGGTTTTGCATTTTTTCTTTATGTCACACAATATTTGCACACCGTTTTTTTTAATGCAAATTTTATTAAAATAAATTTAAGTACACGCAAACACGATATAATACCCATTTTTTTGGTAAAATATATAAGATGATGTTATGCCAAGTAAATAAATAACTAACATGTCAAGCTTTGAAAATGACATATGCCTATGGAACAGCGCCAAATTATGGCACCTAAAAAATCTCCAATAGGCAACGTTTTAAAAGCCTTTACTGGTTACCAGTTTAGAGTTCTACAGGAGGTCTGGTGCTAGGGTTCCCACCTCATCCCTTTAACCACTTGCCTTCTGGGCACTTTCACCCCTTCCTGCCCAGACCAATTTTCAGCTTTCACCACTGCCGCACTTTGAATGACAATTGCGCAGTCATGCAACACTGTACCCATATGAAATTTTTAGCATTTTTTTTAGACAGAGCTTTTTTTGGTGGTATTTAGTCACCTCTGGGTTTTTTTATTTTTTGCTAAACAAACCAAAAACAACTGAAAATTTTGAAAAAAACATTTTTCTTAGTTTCTGTTATAAAATTTTGTAAATAAGTAATTTGTCTGCTTCACTGATGTGCGCTAATGAGGCTGTAGCAATGGGCACTGACAGGCTGCACTGATGGGCACTGATAGGCAGCACTGATGGACACTGATGAGGAGGCACTGGCAGGTGGCACATATGGGCATTGACAGGCATCACTGATGGGCACTAAAAGGCAGCACTCATATATGGCACTGATAGACAGCACTGACTGGCACTGTTAGGTGGCACTGACTGTCACTGATAGGCAGCACTGACTGGCAGCTCAGATGGTCACTGATATGTGGCATTGATGTGCACTGGTAGGCACTGATATGTGGCACTGATGGGCACTGACAGGTGGCATTGATGGACACTGACAGTTGGCACTGATGGGGCTACACTGATCATCAGTGCCCTGATGATCAGTGTACATATCCCCTCTGAGGAATACCAATTACCGGCTCTCCTCTCGAGCTGTCAGCGTGAGGAGAGGAATGCCGATAACTGACATTTCCTTATTTACATGCGATCAGCTGTGATTGGACACGCGTTTAGAGTGGGAGAACGTCATATGACGTCCTCCCAGAACGAGAGAACCACCACCTGCCTGTCATTTCCTTATATGGCGGGCGGGATGCAGCACAAGGAGGCAGGGGCGCTTTAAATTTTTTATTATTTTTTTTTTTTTTTTTGCACTCTATTTTTTTAGCATTTTTATTGCTATGACAAGGGATGAACAACATCCCTTGTGATAGCATAGGCAGTGACAGGTTCTCATTACTGAGACATCTGGGGTCTATTGCACCCCAGATCTCTCCTCTGCCCTTAAAAGCATCTGATCAAACCCAGATCGGTTTAATCAGATGCTTTCACAAGCCAGTAATGGTTTCTTTACATCATGGCAATACCAGAAGTGAGAAAATTTACATTGAAATTCCAGTCCTTGGTCATCTCTTTGGTAAGCAGACGGAACTGCCAGCTTCAGTCCCAGGCTCCCTGGAGGTGGCTGGAGGTGGCAGGGGGGACCCCTCCCTCCGTATGTAAAAGCAATCCAGTGGTTATTTAGCTGCTGGGATTGCTTTTACGTTAAAGAGCATCGCCTGAATCAAAAAAGAGACTGGGATGATGCCTGCAGCTGCAGGAGTGCCGTTGATGCTGCTTTTTTCTGCTAGCAGTTCTGGCATTTTTTTCTGCTGTCTAGTGTGCATGGACCCTAATACATATTTCATTCATCAAGCCCTAAAGCAGGACTTTGACCACGCAAAACTGAACGAAAATTTCAAATCGTTGGTTTTTCCCATCATTAGTGTGCCAGCTGTAACACGCCATTTTCGTGTCGCAATCGAAAGTGCAATCCAATATGATGGATTTTTTTAGAAAGACAAAACAATTAATGGCACAGTTGTATGAGCTGTTTCAGTTTTTCATTCAACAGAACTTTCGGATTTTGACTCGTCTATAGCCTGACTATTATTATTATTATGCAGGATTTATATAGCGCCGACAGTTTGCTCAGCACTTTACATATGGTGGGAGACAGTACAGTAACAATGCAATTCAATACAAGAGGGATTTGAGGGCCCTGCTCCTTGGAGCTTACAATCTAGGAGGGATGGGATAGTGGTACAAGAGGTAATAACTGTGGGGGATGGAGTGGTTGGAAGAGTAGAGGATTTCAGTATTAGCTGAGGGCGGGGTAGGCTTCCCTGAAGAGATCGGTTTTCAGACAGTGCCTAAAAGTGAGCAGAGTATGCTATAGTCTGATGGATTGGGGTAGGGAGTTCCAGAGGATGGGGGAGGCCCTGTAGAAGTCCTGGAGATGAGCATGGGAGGAGGAGACAAGGGAGCTAGGGAGTAGGAGGTCTTGTGAGGAGCGGAGAGTACGGTTTGGGTGATATTTGGAGACAAGATCTATGATGCACTAAGGCTAGGTTCACACTCGTGTTACCTGTGTCCTGCAAGAAGGCAACCTATTCATTTTGATGGACTCCCCTACCAACAGAAACACAGGAAAAGAAGTCCCTGAGGGCTAGTTCACACAAGATGCAGTTCAGTGCGCTTTTTGTTCTGTATCAAAAATGCATGCACAGTGTTTTCCATGTATTCCAATGGTCCTGGTTCACACTAGTGCAGTCAGTTCCAGTCACTTTCCGGTTCAGAAAAACAAAGTAGAACATGCTGCATATTTTTCTGCACAGAACCATACCAGAACATGGCAAACTGCATCAAAACTGCCCCAGAACTATGTGTGAACTGTAAGCAAAAACATATCTGGAATGCATCCGGAGTGCATTTTTGTAGTGTGAACTGACCCTTTTTTAAATCACACTGCACTGTGTCACATGGTGCTGTGGCACCATGCGGCTTGGCAAGCAAAAAAACATGGGTGTCGATATTTGGGGGTGCCACTAACCCAGCATCAAAAATTTATTATATTGCAGCTTACCAATCATTCGATGTGGCGGCTGCATTCGTTTCCCTTTTTAGGCTTTTTTTCCTCTGTTTTCATCTGGCCAGTAACAAACCTCCTATAATAGAGTGCCCCCACTCTGGATGAAGGAGCACAAGGGGTACTCTTGGACAGCAGCATTGTAAGTCTGGGGGAGGGGAGTGTTAGATATACTATCAGATTTAGATACACTAAAAAATGTAAGCAAAACTTTAGCTAATACTTTATAGCAGTTATAGCAAATTTTTTTCTTCCTTTTGGGATAAAGGTTTTACGTAAATAAACAAAAGTGATCACTGTAAGCATCCCTACCAGTATTAAATGTTTTATCTCATCCCTTTAACTGTAAGAGAGCTTGTTCTTTGGAAAAACAACAGACTTCCTGGCCAGATCACAGATGAAAATAGCCTAAAAAAAAAAACAAAACAAATGCAACCATCACACCCAAGAATTGGTAAGCCACAATATAATAAATGTTTGCTTTTGGGTTTAATACCGCTTTAAGAATTAATGAGCGGCTCGTTTGTCTATGGGTGCGATTTTTCATGTTCCCGACCCGCAAAAATGTGAACTGTACTGGTGGATTTTCGTCTGAGCATTTGTACAAAAAAAATGTTGTTAGTACATTCAATAATGTAAAGACTTAACAAATTAATGTTTCAAAAGTAATTAAAAATTTAGTTCTATTTTGAAATGAATGGAATTTCCCGGAGCAAAACCACATGCACTGTAAGAATATAGTTCATCCAGGAAAAAGTTTTCATCCTACTCCTTTGATTTTTTCGTTTTTGTTTTTTTTTGTCTCACGATGGTCAAAAATGATCACCAATTGTGACCCCACTATTAAAAATACTTCTAAATTCTACATGTGTATAATGGCCAGCTTAAAGAGAAACTAAACTCTCTTATCCTTTACAGCCAAGGAAGCTGCCATCTTAGCCTCTGTTTGACCTGCACCTGCCATGGTGTCGCTCATGAGATAAGTTATGACATTGGCCTTTTGATGGCTTGAATGTTCGGTGGAGACCACAAGCAACCGTAACAGTTATCATTAATGGCATGCTTTGAATGTAACTGTTTCGGGAAACTGTTAAATCGATGGGTATAGTTCCACTCAGGGGCAGAATGACCATTTGGAAACTCAGGCACTGCCTGAGGGCCTGGGGTCAGTAGGGGGCCCCAGGAGATGCCCCTGGTACCTTTTTCATAGGCTTTTTTGAGTTTGGGCAAGGACACAGGGGCCCCATGATCCCCTATTGCCCAGGGGCCCCATGAGTTGTCAGTCCACCCCTGGTTCCACTTTAAGATTTCAGGATACATTATTTATTTCAGGTACTTATATAGCGCTGTCAATTTACGCAGCACTTTACATATATTGTACATTCACATCAGTCCCTAACCCTCAGGGGGCGTACAATCTAAGGTCCCTAACTCACATTCATATACAAGGGCCAATTTAGACAGGATCCAATTAACCTACCAGCATGTCTTTGGAGTGTGGAAGGAAACCGTAGTACCCGGAGGAAACCCACGCAGGCACAGGGAGAACATGCAAACTCCAGGCAGGAGGTGCCGTGGCTAGAATTTGAACCAACGACCCGAGTACTGCCAGGGGGAAGTGCTAACCATTTAGCCACTGTGCTGCCCACAAGATCACTCAATCCCCCATCCATGCTAAACAACATGGATGGACGACTTTAAAGGATCAGAAGTGTTGAAGCGCTCAATAGGTCTACGTGCGCTACTGCCCTAAATGATCAAATCAAAAATGGAAAGAAGCTACAGCAATGTCTCAGAAAGTGAATATTTTTTTCTGCTGGGATTAATTGAGGA